AAATTATTTTAAAATATTTTAAAATATGACAAAACTGAAATATCTAATTTTACAACTCCAACTCTCTCGTACTCGTATCATTTACACTTTTAAATTGCATCATAGATAAAAGAACACCTACAACATTAAGACTTTTTATATATGATTTTGCTAAAATATTATTGTGTGGATCAATTAAAATTTATTGTTAATATGACATTTAAAATAAAGTAAATTATAATTACTGTCATCAAATAAATTTGTCAACATACTTGTATTAAGTACTCAGATATGACATCTAAATTTGTCAACATAATATACAGTGAAGTTTGTTTATTTTTTGAAATAATTGTAATACTAATTTAAATAATTATTTTTAGAATAAATTAAAAAAATTGATAATTCTAATTTTAAAATTGTTTGTAAATCTGTGAAAATGAAAAAATATTGACAATTTTATTTTAAAAAATTGTTTCAAAAGTGTGATAAGCGGTGCAAAATTAACTCCCTAAATTTGTTTCAAAGTGTCGTAAGTGGTGGAAAATGGAAGATGTTGTTTATATCAAATTATTTGAGAAGATTTACTAAGATAAATATATGAAATTCATTCTGTAAATTTTACCTACTAAAAAGAGAATACATTTACCTTATAATAATCATAAATTAATAAATCATAATATATATATATATATATATATATATATATATATATATATAATTCATAATCGATTATTTACTCATTTATTGAAATATTGTCTTCATTTTATTATTTTATTTTTTTTACTATGTTTTTAGTTTCCTGTTTTTTAGAAAAGATACTAATAAAATAAGATTTTCTATAAAAAAACTACTAAAATCCATTTTAGGATTGTAATATATTATTATATAATTAATTTTAAATTACTATTTTTATTATTTTTATACTAAGATCGATTAAATATATCATTTTTAAAAATTACCGTTTTCTAAAAATTTTAATCTGAATAAAATATATTTTAGAATTATGATTAACTATTATTATTATTATTATTGTTATTATTATTATTATTATATATTTAAGCATATTCACAAGTATAAAACAAAAATAAATAAATACTAATTTTGATATTTTAATGGGAGATTTATAGAAAGTTTTATTTTTTTAGTCAACTCTAGCAAAATATAATTAATTTCTTAAAATTATATTATTAAGGTAAAATGTTTATCAATTTTATTAATAATTAAACTCTGTAAAAAATTATTCATATTATCCTTAGATATAAGTATATTTTCTAATTTATATAGACAATTTTTTACTCATTATTTATAATTTACATATTTTTTTGTCTCTGTTTTTGTAACTCTCAAATTTCATTTTTCTATATTATTTTTAGTTATTTATATTCGTTTTCACTGTTTTTTATCATGAATTATATGTATATTATCATATGTTAGATAATTTGTTAGACAAATGACATCTAGAGGGGGTGAATAGATGCACAAATTAAAATAGATGCAAAATTAAAAATTTATTTTAAGATGTCCAATAATTTATTAATTTAATTTTAATTATCAAATAAAATATAGATAAAACGGAAGCAATATAATCAGATAAATAAAGGGAATGAAATAAGTAGATGTTATCACAAAGGTATAAGAAAGAGAAAAACACACAGTAATTTATATTGGTTTGGGTATAGTCAACCCAGTCAACTCTTAACACAAGAGTAACCTCAATTCACTATCTTTTAAATTTAGTTCACAAATTACAATTAACTCAGCAAAAAACAAACTAATTCAAAAGACAATCACCTCCTTAGAAACCCACTAAGGATGAACACTTCCCTAGAATCCCACTAGGGATGAACACCTCCCTAGAATCCCACCAGGGATGAACACCTCCTCTGAACAAATCAAAGGTTGAACACACTTCTTTAGAATCCCACTAAGGATGAACACCTCCCTAAAATCTTACTAGGGATGAACACCTCCTTTGAACAAATCAAAGAATGAACACACCTCCTTAGAATCCCACTAAGGATGAACACCTCCTTATAATCCCACTAGAGATGAACACCTCCTCTGAACAAATCAAAGGATGAAAACACCTCCATGAACAAATCAAAGGGATGAACAATTTCCACACAAGAAACCTTAAAAAAAAAACACAACAGAATGATAGTGACTACTTAAACCTTAAACATGGAATTTAACAATCAACCACTTAAGCCCACAAAGGATGAAGGTAATAAAATAAGAACAGTCGCAACTGGATAATGAAGACAACAAATTGTAGAAGTCTGTAGAATGCCAACCTCCAAGAACAAGTGTGATTAACAATCAAAGCACAGTAGACAATGGACAAGAGGGTTTTGGTAAAATATCTCTGTGGCAATGGAGAAGAGAGTTTTTTCAAAATATGTAAAATATCTCTGTTGTCTTGCTCAGAATTATTTTCTCAAAACTGATTCGAATTCTGTAATTGTGTTTTTTTTTTTTATTTTCTATCAAAACTTAATTAAATAGAAAAATAGCATCAGAAAGTGGTCGTTAGACATTAATATTTTCGTGGATAAAAATCAGGATATATTAAAAAACATTTATTCTTCAAAACAGATATATTTTTGAATTTCGAACTGCCATAATCGATTATCTCCTCAGCATAATCAATTATGTCGAGGTAAAAATCAATTTCTCAATTCTAATGCGTCATAATCAATTATGACAGTGAAAAATGTCATGTTACGAAATTTTATCACACTTGTGCTTTGGAGGCTTATGCATAATATTACTTCATCAACTTGTACCTCCATATCCAGTATTCTAAGACTTTATCTAATCTTTAGGAATCATCTTAGGCTTGCTTGAATCTTGAATAGAATCTTTATCAAATCATATATTGGGCTTGCTTGAGTCTTGAATGTTGTTGACTTGAATCATCATCAAAATCAACTCTTGGGAATGTAGGGACATGTTTCACATTGCCATCAATCTCCTTCTTTTTGATGATGATAAACTTTACTACAAACCTTAAATGTATTGTTGACAAGACATCAATTAAGATAATAAATGTAACTATAATATAACAAATACATACATATTCACTATGTTTTAAATGTCCATTTTTTTTTCGATTCAATGAGCAGAACCAACACATAATATTGTTCTTTGGACAGATAGAACAATCATGATGACCCTTAACATTATACCCACTCAAGTTTCCATATGCTAGAAAGTCATTTATAGTACAAATTAACATTGCATGTAACTTGAAAGTGTTTTATTGATATCTATCAACACTTCCACTCCTTTCTTATACAAAGATCTTAAGTCATCTATTAAGGGACTTAGATAAACATCAACATCATTTTCCAGCTATCTGGGACCTACAATCATCATGGATAACATAACATATATACGCTTCATACACACCCAATGTGAAAGGTTGTAAATGACCAACAAAATTGGCCATGAGTTGTGGTTACTACTTAAGTTACCAAAAGAACTCATTCCATTTATATTTAATCCAAGCCTAAGATTTCTTGCATCACTCCCAAAATGTGGAAAAAGACTGTCAATTTTTTTTCATTGAGGAGAATCAGTTGGATGTCGAAGTCGTCCATCATTTTTTTTCTTTCATTTGAATTCCATGTATGGTTTTTTGCATCATGTTCACTAGTAAATAATCACTTAAATCTTGAAATTATTGAAAGATACCATAAAACCTTCATTGGAGGACCCTTTGATTCATTATCTTGAGTAGAATCACCCTCATCCTTCACTTTGTACCATTGTACCCCACATCTTGGACACCTATGTAAAGATTCAAACTCCTTTCTATACAATATGCAATCATTAGGACAAATATGTATTTTTTTTTTATATTCCAAACCCATAAGACATAATATCTTCTTTGCTTCATACATATGGTCTGACAAGGTGTTATCATTTGGTAACATATCCTTCAAAAGTTCTAACAACTTAGTAAAACTTTTATCACACCATCCATATTTTTCCTTCAAATTCACAAGTCTTAATACAAAAGACAATCGTTTGAAACTTGTACACCCAGGATACAAAGGTGCCACTAAATCATTCTTTAATTTATCATACACTAGTGGATGTGCTTGGTGAAAACTCTCATGACCAACATCACAGAGCATGTCTTCTATTCCATCTTCCATAGGAGCATCCTCCTCAGTGTGAGATATTATACAAATATTTCTCATGTCACCGTGTCATGTCCATGATGTATAATTCTACAAAAACCTATCATAGATAAGATGCTCCCATATTATGTTTAATCTATGTACTCGCCCATTAACACAATTAAAGAAAGGAAAATAAAATGTTCCATTCAAATTAGGTCTATTTTGTTTAACATATTCCAAGAACTACTCAATGGAATTCTCACTCTTCGAGATACATAATTCGCATTTATCCAACTTCGATCCATTTTTGTAATCTATTTTAGAGAAACTCAATTCAGTTATCTATGTATATGTAATTTATTTATAAAAGGTGATTATTTTACTATTTTTTATAATAAAAAATAGTACTTACAAGTTAAATAATCAATTACAAGACATGGATTTCGACGAAAATTCAATAGAGTCTCCTTTGTGTTTTACAACAAACCAAATTTAATAGTATACTCAAACCTACACAAAACATTCATATTCACACTTCGTCAAAACAAAATTTTCATCTTTGTTGACACCAAGGCATGCTAAGTATAATATCTTACTAACATGGAAATCGATTTTCATATAAAAATACTATAAACTTTAACAATCGAACAACATTTTTGACATAAGTAATTGACCAACTATGAGAAATTTAACATCCTTGTTTATACATATTGTAACATTACAAAGCCTACTCAACCTTCAATAGTTACTATTATCCAAGTGCAATTGGTGGAAAAAATACCTTGAGTTATTGCAAGTCTGTAACCAAGGGTTTATATTGCCACCAGAGGAGGAAGATAGGAACAAATGCTAGCCACGAGAAAAAGAGAGACACCGTGAGAAACAGAGACTATGAGAGGGAGAAACACCACAAATGGTTGCTTAGATTGCTCTGTAGTGTTGTCGAGAGGAAGAGAACAACAAAGACCCACCATGTCATTACAAAGAGACAACAGAGATCCATTAGACGTCACAATAAATACCCACTATGCCGTGATAAGAGATAATGGAGAGGTGACAGAGAACCACTGTGTGCGTAACACAGGGAGGACGAAAGCCCACCACACCACCATAAATAGGCGTCGAAGAGGTCACAGGCGCATCGCGACAAAGGGGCAACAAAGAGGACAAAGAGGTTACGAGCTTCAATAGTTATTATGTTGGCAAACGTGTTCTGGTGGTGTCAGGAATTGAAATTTGTAGTAATGGCATTGCATAATAGAAGGAAACAATAACACAATCACAAACCCTTGAAGCAAAACAATTTAGTACCCATTGTACAATACCAATTATTTGTCCTATTTCATTACATTTTAATAAATAGTTCGTTATTTAGTTTCTTCCATTTCATTCTTGTTTTAACTTAAATGAGATTTGAGATACAAACTTTAGAAATGAATACTTACCAAAAGAAAATATTTTTGACATTTGTCGGAGAAATTTTCTTATAGTGCTCTAGAAGCAATTTCCAACAACCAAGGTGACCATCCAATCTTTTCTTTCCCTTTTGTATTATCTCATTGCTTCTTCATGGTCGATTTGAATTGAAATCGTCTTTTTCTACACACCACTCTAAACCGCAGTCCAAGTCATAGAAATATCCTCAATCAATATTTCATTGAATTTTTTTTTCCTTTATATTTATGCCTTGAAGGACCTACTACACAGTAAATGGTTTTTTTTTCTCTCTCTCTTTTTATCTTTGTTTTGAAAGACCTATTCAATTGTGTTATGTATTATTGGGAAATTCAAGTGAGTCTATGCCTCACATTGAGTAAGAATGAGAAAGTTAAGCAACATATAAGGAAGAAAGACCCATCCTAATGCTTTAAGATTTTGGGTTGAAGGTGGTGCATATTCTTTTATATAGTTGACATGTGAGAATCTCCTTGTTGTTTAGCCCCCCTCGTAAGACCCAATAATAGTAACAGAGCTCTTGGTTTGGGACTATATTTACTTGCTTGAATGATGAAAGCAAATACAAAGATGGTTGTTTTAAATGGTACAAATTATCCTTTGTGGAAGGGAACGATAAAAGATTTGTTGTTTGTGAAAAAATTGCATTTTCCAATCTTTGCTATACATATAAGCTAAATTATATGCATGATGAAAAATGAGACTTTGAGCACCAACAAGTGTGTGGTTTTATTCGATAATATGCAGAAGACAATGTTTATAATCACATTGTGAATGATACACATGCTAAAACTTTGTGGGAGAAGATTGAGTCCTTGTATACTTATAAGTCAATCAATAATAAATGATATTTGTTGAATTGCTTGATGGATTTGAGGTATAAGGAGAGTTCTTCCATTTCAGATTACTTAAATGAGTTTCAAGGGCTCTTAGATCAACTGTCAAGAGTGGATATCAACTTTGATGATGAAGTTTTTAAACTATAGCTACTGAATACTCTACCAAAGTCTTCGAAGATACTTCAAGTTTAAATTACAAACTCAACCCCTTATAACATTTTTTTTTCTAGATGACAAAGAGTGGTGCTCTTAATGAAGAGATGAGAAGGAACATACATAGTTCTTCATCTCAGTCTGAAGGGTTTGTCGATGAAAATAGGGGGAGAAGTTAGAAAAAGGAACTGAAGGATGGTAAAGACAAGAGTTGGAGCATGTATAAGACAAAATACAAAATTTGGAGTGTCATTATTGTAATAAACCTGGGCACATCCAAAGATATTGTTTTAAGTGTTACATTGAGGAAGAAGTGTTTCACATCTTATACTTTTGATAATTTTTGAGTGGTAGAAGATGGGTAATGATGATGTATAAAAGGTTGTTGGTGTCAGTGATGTTTGTTTGCAAACCAACATGAGAGTGTAGTTATTACTTAGAAGAGTCAAACATGTTCCAAGTCTGTTTTTAATCTTATCTTTGTACATTTTTTTAAGGATGACAAAAAGGTTAGGCTCGGCGGACCAACCCACTAACCCGCCTAAAAAATGGCAGAACGGGTTAGTGGTTTTAGCCCGCTGACTCGTTTTGGTCCACTTTAAAAAAATATTTATATATTAAAATTAAAATTAAATAATATTATAATTAAAAATATTTTATTTTTTGTGTTATGTTATTAAAATATATAAATATATTATAATATTATAATTTAAATTATAAAAATTAATTAATTAAATTTAAATTATTGATTATAATTAGTTAGACACATAAATATAATATTTTTAATTTATCTAATAAAAATATTAATTAATAAATAAAAACTTAAAAGTTATTCATATAATTAAAAATATATTTTTTTAAAAATACATATAAAAAATTTATATAAAAAAATTATTGGCAGACGGGCTACGGTTTGTGGTTTGTCCTAACTATGGTAGGCTAGTCCGCTCCGACCCATTTTTGGTGAGCCAAAGGTAGGGCAACCGGACTCGTTTTGCCATACTATATTTTCTTGATGATTATGGTTATGACAATCACTTTGGTTCTAATAAATGGAAGTTCACTAAAGGTAACTTAGTCATGATTAGAGGGGAAAATTTTTCTAAATTGTATTGGATTAAAGCTTTGGTTGCTAAGGAAGGTTTGAAGTTATGTACATGGAGGCATCTTTGTGGCACCAAAAGCTTGGTCATATAAGTGAAAAATGGCTTAATATCTTAGTTAAAAAGGATATGCTTTTGGGATTGAACAGTGCAGAGTTGGAGAAATATTCCTTTTACATGGTAGGTAAACAAACCAGAGTATCCTTTAAGAAGCATCTTCCCTCAAGAAAGTCAAAATTGCTTGAATTGGTACATTCTGATATTTGGGGCCCATTGAAGGTAAAGTTGTTTAGTGGTGCATTTTACTATGTTACTTTTATTTATGATTGTTCTAGGAAGCTATGTGTTTATGCACCAAAAAGAAAGGATCAAGTACTTGAAAAGTTCAAAGAATTTCATGCTTTGGATGAGAGGCAATCAGGCAAGAAGCTAACATGCATTCATACATATAATGGTGGTGAGTATTGTGGACCCTTTAATGTTTATCACAAGTAGTAGGGTATCAGACATGAGAAGACCACTCCTAAAACTCCTTAGTTGAATGGTCTAGTATAGAGGATGAGTAGGACTTTGGTTGAAAGAGTTAAATGTATGCTTTTTGAAGTAAATTTACCTATGCATTTTTAGGAATAGGCATTGCTTGTAGTCGTGCATGTTATTAATCTTAGTCCAATAGTTGCTTTGAATATTGAGGTACTAGACAAAATCTGATTTGACAAAAATGTTAACTATTAACATTTGCATGTCTTTAGTTACAGGACATTTGTTTATGATCCTAATGTATGCTTAGATGAATTTGGATACAGGTTGTATGATCTTGTTGAGAAGAAGCTAATTAGAAGTTGTGATGTGCAATTCATGGAAGATCAAACCATTGAAGATGTTAACAAGGTGGAGAAGATTATACCCGAGAAAGATAGTAGTCCCATTGATGGTAATTCGATGCGGTTTCCTGTTCACAATTGAGTTTGATGCTCAAAATGATGAGCAACATGATGATTAACAAGTTAGGGATAGAGTAAAGATTTTGATTGATGATATTTAAGAGTATTAGATATTAGCACTATCAATTAGAATAATTCAATTATGATAGGTTTAAATAATAATATAATCATTTTTATTTCATTATTTATGCACAGTTATATACAACATTTATAGGGAGAGAATATTTCCCTGATTTTCGGGGATATATTAGTGTATAGGTTTATTACCTTGTATTTTATTTATACCTCTTTTGTATATTTTCTAAAATAAGAATACACAACATATTTTCTGCATGGTATCAGAGCTCAATCATGACCATCCCTAACCTAGCGCTGCTAACCATGGAAGAGAACAAGGCAGGAGGTTTGACCACCAGTTTGATCGAATGACTTGCTCTTCCTGTCACTGGTCACAAATTGAATGGCCAAAATTATCCTCAATGGGTGCGTTTAGTTAAAATCTTCCTTCAAGGAAAAAGGAAGGAAGGTTACATCACCGAAGGCTCTAAGTCTCCAGTAGAGGGTGACCCTAACCTCAACAAATGACAACTAGAAAACAATTTAGTCATGTCACGATTACTCAACACCATGACCAATGAAATTGGGGAGAATTTCATGTACTATGACACTGCCAACAAGATGTGGAATGCAATGAAGGAAACCTACTCAAATGTGGATAATATGTGTACGGTATTTGAGATCAAGAGCATACTCTATGAACTGTGACAAGGTGATTTCTCAGTCACTAACTATTTTAATACACTCAGTCGACATTAACAACAACTAGACATATATGAAGACGTTCAATAGAGCTGTGTCGATGATAAGAAGAAGTATAAAGAGTTGGTGGAGAAAGATAAGATCTACAAGTTCCTATTGGGGCTGAACACAAAACTTGATGAAGTCTGAGGGAGAATCCTTGGAACCAAACCTCTTAAAATAATATGGGAAGTATTTTTGGAAGTGAGAAGGGAGGAAAGCAGGAGGAAAATAATGCTTGGAAAGTCAAGTACAGCCCAACCCATTGAGGGCACAACAATGGAAATAAGGGGAAACCAATCTCGTCCATTTAAAAAGAAAAATCGGCCCTGATGCGATTACTGCAGGAAATTGGGACACACTAAGGACACATGTTGGATTATTCATGGCAAGCCTTCAGAGGAAAAATAGATAAAAAACCTGGACAGCAGAGGAGACACAACAGAGGTAAATTCTAATCCATCTCCATTTAGCAAGGAGCAAATGGAAACACTACAGAAAATTCTCCAGCAAACCATTGGTACAACTGCAGTAGCACAAAAAGGTAATTTCTTGCATTCTCTAAATACTAACATAGGAAAATCAAAATCATGGATCATTGATTCAAGAGCCTCAGATCACATGACTAGAGACTTAACTGTGTTTAAAAACTATACTCCTTGCTATAATAATTACACAGTTCGGATAGTTGATGAGACTCTTTCTAAAGTCATGGGTAAAGGTTCAGTTATTATCTCACAAAATATTAACCTGAAGTAAGTCCTTTATGTGCCTAAACTTGACTATGATTATTGTCCATTAGCAAACTGACAAAAGATTTGAAGTGTGTTACTAAATTCTTCCTTAACCTATGTTAATTTCAAATTTTGGAGATGGGGGAGACGATTGGCATTGTTAAA